GAACCCCCCAAGACCCCCCAGACCCCTGGAACCCCCAAACCCCCTGACCCACAAGACCCCCAGACCCCTGGGGACCCCCCAAAACCCCTCGCGACCTCCGGGACGCCCCAGCCTTTGGTGAGGGGGGGTCGTGGCCACGCTGACCCCTCCCCTCCCCCACAGTGGACGGCGCGTGGGGGGCGTGGTCTACGGCCACGCCCTGCCCGGTCACGTGCGGCCTGGGCGGGGTCGTTCAGCGCCGCTCCTGCGACGCCCCCTCCCCAAAACACGGGGGGAGGGGCTGCGAGGGGCCCGAGACCCGGCGGGGGGTCTGCGGGCCCCGCGACCCCTGCCCAGGTGAGGGGCGGGGCTTAAATGAGGAATGGGCGGGGTTTAATTGGGGAGTGGGCGAGGCTTAAATGGGAATGGGCGGGGTTTAAAATGGGTGTGGTCGCTTGGGTTGAAGATGGACGTGGTCTGGTGGGCGGGGCTTGTTTTGGGTGTGGTTATGGGCGTGGTTTTGTGGGGGTGTGGTTTGGGCTGGGCGGGGTTTGAGGAGGGGAAGGGAGGGAAAGGCAAAGGGATAAGAAAAGGAAAAAGGGGATAAGGAAGAGGGAAAGGGAAAAGGGAAAGGGAAAGAGAAAAGGGAAAAGGGAAAGGGAAAAAAAACCCCAAAATGTAAAAAGGAGAAAGAAGAAGAAAGAAGAAAAGAAGAAAAGGAAAGGGAAGAAGGAAAGGAAAAATGAAGGAAAAGGGAAAGTGCAAGGAGAAAAGGGAAAATGGAAAGGGAAGAGAAAAGGAGGAGGAAAAAGGGAAAAGGAAAAGCAGAATAAAAAAAGGAAAAGGAAAGGGGAATGTAAAAGGAAAAGGGAAAGGCGAAAATAGGAGAAAAAAATTATAGAGAAAAAGGAAAGGAGAAGGGAAAAAGGAAAAAGGGAAAAAGGAAAGGGAAATATAAAAGCAAAAGGGAAAATTAAAGCAAAAATCGGGACTTACAGAGAAAAAGGAAAGGAGAATGGAAAAAGGAAACAGAAAAAGAAAAGGGAAGAAGGAAAGGGGAAAAAGAAAAGAGAAAGGAGCTCCCAGCCCCCATTCTGTCCCTGCTGTCCCTGTGGTGTCCCCTGGCTGTCCCCAGCCCCACTGTCCCCTGTGTGTCCCCGTTCTGTCCCCACTGTCCCCTGCACTGTCCCCTGGCTGTCCTTGCACTGTCCCTGCTGTCCCTGTGCTGTCCCCACCCCCCTGTCCCCCCCAGCCCCGGTGCACTGGGGTCCCTGGTCCCCCTGGAGCCCCTGCGTGTGGCCCTGGGGTGACATCGGCTGCCGCCGGGCCGTGGGGCAGCAGCGGCGCACGCGGGGCTGCGAGGGGCACAGCCCGGGGGGCAGCGCCTGCCCCACGGCCCGGGGGGGCTCCATCGAGCTGCGGGCGTGCTACAGCGTGCAGGGCTGCGAGCGTGAGTGCGGGGGGCCGGGGACCCCAAAACCTGCCCAGGGTCTGGGGGGACCCCAAAACCTGCCCAGGGATCCTGGGGGAACCCCAAAACCTCCCCAGGGCTGCATGCATGAGTGCAGGGGCCCGGGGACCCCAAAACCTGCCCAGGGTCTGGGGGGACCCCAAAACCTGCCCAGGGATCCTGGGGGGACCCCAAAACCTGCCTAGGGATCATGGGGGGACCCCAAAACCTGCCCAGGGTCTGGGGGGACCCCAAAACCTCCACAGGGATCCTGGGGAACCCCAAAACCTCCACAGGGCTGCGAGCGTGAGTGTGGGGGGCCGGGGACCCCAAAACCTGCCCAGGGATCCTGGGGGGACCCCAAAACCTGCCTAGGGATCATGGGGGGACCCCAAAACCTCGCCAGGGCCTGGGGGAACCCAAAACCTCCACAGGGATCATGGGGGGACCCCAAAACCTGCCCAGGGATCCTGGGGGGACCCCAAAACCTCTCCACAGCTGCCCCAGAGATCATGGGGGACCCCAAAACCTGCCCAGGGATCATGGGGGACCCCAAAACCTGCCCAGGGATCCTGGGGAACCCCAAAACTTCCCCAGGGTTGCGTGCATGAGTGCAGGGGGCCGGGGACCCCAAAACCTCCTCAGGGTCTGGGGGGACCCCAAAACCTCCCTAGGGATCATGGGGGGACCCCAAAACCTCCTCAGCGATCCTGGGGGGGACCCCAAAACCTCCCCAGGGCCTGGGGGACCCCAAAACCTCCCCAGGGCTGCCCCATAGATGGTGTTGGGACCCCCCTAGAGCTGCCCTGCCCCACAGATCCTGTTTGAAGCCCTATTGCTGCCCCCCAGCTGCCCCCCAGATCCTGTTCACACCCCCGGAGCTGCCCCACAGACCCTTACAGGGACACCCACCCCCAGCTGTGGGGGATTCTTGGTACCGGGGGGATCTGTGGGGCTGGGGGGATTTATGGGGCTGGGGGGATCTCTATGGGGTCCCTGCGGGTCTGTGGGGCCGGGGGAGATCTCTGGGAGTCTGTGGGGTCTCTCTGGGGTCTCTGGGATCTCTCTGGGGTCTCTGGGGTCTCTCTGGGTCCCTGGGGGTCTCTCTGGGGGTCCCTGAGTGTCTCTCTGGGTCCCTGAGGGTCTCTGGGGGTCCCTGGGGGTCTCTCTGGGGTCCCTGGGGGTCCCTGGGGGTCTCTCTGGGGTCTCTATGGGATCTCTGGGGTCTCTCTGGGTCTCTCTGAGGTCCCTGTGGGGTCCCTGGGATCTCTCTGGGGTCCCTGGAGGTCTCTCTGGGTCTCTCTGGGGTCCCTGGGGTCCCTGGGGGTCTCTCTGGGGGTCCCTGCGGTCCCTGGGGGTCTCTCTGGGGTCTCTCTGGGATCTCTCTGGGGTCCCTGTGGGATCCCTGGGGGTCTCTCTGGGTCTCTCTGGGTCCCTGAGGGTCTCTGGGGGTCCCTGGGGGTCTCTCTGGGGTCCCTGGGGGTCCCTGTGGTCCCTGGGGGTCTCTATGGGATCTCTGGGGTCTCTCTGGGTCTCTCTGGGTCCCTGGGGGTCCCTGGGGGTCCCTGGGGGTCTCTGGGGGTCCCTGTGCTCCCCGGTCCGTGTGGGGCGGCGCTGACCCCTCTCTGCCCGCAGCCTGCGGTCCCTGGGGGTCTCTCTGGGGTCTCTCTGGGATCTCTCTGGGGTCCCTGTGGGATCCCTGGGGGTCTCTCTGGGTCTCTCTGGGTCCCTGAGGGTCTCTGGGGGTCCCTGGGGGTCTCTCTGGGGTCCCTGGGGGTCCCTGTGGTCCCTGGGGGTCTCTATGGGATCTCTGGGGTCTCTCTGGGTCTCTCTGGGTCCCTGGGGGTCCCTGGGGGTCCCTGGGGGTCTCTGGGGGTCCCTGTGCTCCCCGGTCCGTGTGGGGCGGCGCTGACCCCTCTCTGCCCGCAGGCTGACCGTGTCCCGCCTGGGCTCCGCCGGCACCTCCCGGGTCTGGTTCTGGGGGGCGGCGCGGCCGCTCTGCGCCCCCCTGCAGGGGCAGCGCCTCCGCCTGCGGGAGACGCGGCCGTGCCGGAGCGCCCTGCCCTGCCCCCACCCGGGTCAGGGGGAGGG